TTGCCATATTTAAAATGAATCGATAACTCCGCAGTGTAAGACTTGAACCCACTGAAAACAGGTCTTAGGAATGTAAAATGTACATATTCGAGCTATTGGACCGTTAAAATCAAAAGTTGAAACCCCATTCTAGTTATTAAGGGGAAGACAGACATTAGAATACATAAGGATTAGAATTTAGACAACAAATATACCTAAGCTAAATTTGTAAATAAGTGAGGGAAGGATACTAGGATGTTCTTGCTAGGTAGTAATTAGTAACTACGCAAAAACGCAATGCAAGAACAACCTCTTGCCTTAATTGTAGAGCGAGATTACAAGCATTGTAGAGCGGGATTACAGGCATTGTAGAGCGGAATTACAGGCATTGTAGAGCCGGGTTATCGTCTAGATAAAAATCGAGAAATTGTGGAAACATGTATTTCATATTATATAGCAGATCAATGAGAAAATAAGTTGGATGAAAAATATTAGGGGGAAGATTATGACGTCTGGTAAAGTGAACCGATATCTTATTGTGCTCATTTGAAAGATGTAACTTCTTGTTATTTTTATTTAACTTAATTATTGCATTAAAACATAAAAATATCCAATTTTGTATAACCTAATTTTTAAAGAGAATCATTTAAATATCATACTTTATAAAACTTGCTAATGATTTTAAAGATTGTTTTTGTCCTACTCTGAATCTACCACTTTCTGAAAACTATGGTTTATTCAGATGTTTATTGTGAAACAAAGAAATGGGTGGTAGTAGCGTAAAGAGCTGCATAGATTTAGAAAAAGTTTTCAAAATTGGAATATACGTTGATTTATGTGCAGATTATTTTTAAAAGTTATTTACCGTTTGAGTTTTGTTTGTAGCATTCCATATACATACTTTTTAAGCTGAATGTACAGAAGACATATAATTTTATATATACTGTATTTAAAACAATATACAGTAAAACTCTTTTAATGGATACCCATCTTGGATAGATAATTTTTCCAAATTAAATTTTCAGATTACCGTTTAATATAAATTAATCCGTTTTGGTCGGACATCTCTTATTTTTCAAGTAATATAATTTGCAGCTAAATTTTTATTTTTAGCATTATTCGCACAATCATGAAGGTACAACATCTATATATAATTTTTATATAAACTCCATGTAAAATATGCAGAGAATACTCTTTTAACAGGTAGTCTTCTTAGATGGACAATTTTTTTTAAATATTATTAAGGACACCTATTGGTCGGACACAGTAAAAACTATGTCCCATTTTTTTGGATAACACTCTTAGATAGACAATTTTTCTAAATTAAATTTTTTTTATATCGTTTAGAACAAATAATAACTTTTGGTTGGATTCAAGTTGGCTTACAATGAGTCCTTTCATAAAACTTGTCATTGTTATTTATTAACAAATTTTTAATCCAAACATTTTGTTATAATTGTAGTGTATTTTTTTTATTGTAAATCAACTTCTCAAGCAGATATGTAAAAATTATAGTTTAGAAGAAACTGGTTGGCAAACAGAGCAAGTATAGATAAAGATATTAGTACATCTTTGGACCTGCAGCATCGATAAGTTTCTCCACCTTAAACCAAAATTGATCACAAATAAAATTCCAACCATATTCAAGCTACTTCTAAACAATCCCATGTTCTTTGACAATACCATCACCTACTCACATCTTAACCCATATATATGTATGCATAACTTTTTTCATGTTATCTGCTTGATAGATCATCGCAGGTCACAGCAACAAGATTGGTACTTAGTAAGGACCATATATATTTAAACAAAGTTCGCCACTTTTGTTTGTTTCGTTCCTATCAAATACTCAGGTGTGCTTGGTTGTGTATTTCACTTTGTCTTAAGTTCTTACGGTGCGCATCGACTAACTGTGCGTTTAGCCAAAGCGAAATGCACAACCAACGATATCTGTATAATTGATAAGAACGAAATAAACAAAGTTCGCTACTTTTGTTTGTTTCGTTCCTATCAAATACACAAATGTGGTTGGATATGCATTTCGCTTTGACTTAAGTGCTTACGGTACGTGTCGACTAACTGAACCCTAATCCGCGAGACCCTATAGAACATAAATAAAAAGGGTTAATGGGTAAATGGATGGGATTGGATGTATAGTAAGGGAAGATGAGAAGGCAGATTGTAAGGGATGCGGGTGTGAATTCTGTTACAATATTTCCCAAGTACTAATATAAGAATGCATTAGAAGTACTTAGACCGAATTCGATAAATCTGTTTCATTTTTTTAAAATTTATTATTATAAAATTAAATTTTTTATTTATTAATTTAATTATATCGAACTGAATACTGACTGTCGGTATTCAGTCTAAAAGCTCATACTATTCAATCAAAGGTTGGACCAATCGTTCTTATAATATATGTTAGCATAAACTAATGAATTACATAAGCAATATGTTAAATAAAAAAGTAAGCAAAATTAAAAACAGAAATAAAAAATAAATAATTATTATTTTATCTTTCATACACTATTTATTACATAAGAATTATATATAATTTTGAAATTTTAAAAATATTGCTTTTATTTACTCTATGGTTTGATTAATAACTGAAAGAAGTGCAAACTTTTTTGTTTTGTTTTCTACTTTCACCAAACATTGTTCTGATATGCCCCCCCTCTGTGCCTACCCCACATTTTATACATTTCACTTACATGTTCATTTTGGCGCAAATCAGCGCCACAATCAGCACACATATCTTTTATAACAGTATTGTGGAGGCACTCTGATAATTCCATAATCGATTCCCTAAATAAAAAAGGACGAAATAATTAAATATTTTTTAAGAAAATTATTTTCACTAGCGTTTTTGTGTATATACGCAATTATTTGAAATACATACCCACTTTTAACAATATCACCTTCTTTAAATAAACATCTCTTAACTGTGCCCACCCTAACTGCCTTCAATTTCTGTATCACTTTATCCACTTCGCTCTCATTATTCACAATTTGATATAATAGTATAACTTGGTTTGCGGTAACCGGGAACCCCTCACGTACCCGCCATTTATTGATCCTTATTTGTGGATGTTCAATTGGTGCTGTTATATACGTACCTATGCTGTCGTTATCCTTACTTGAACCGTAATTATCTGCCATTGCAATTATTATTCTTATTTACAGTGTCCAATATTTGGATACTGTTTTATAAATAAATAGCAACTTAATTCTTCGTAAGCACAATCAATTGTGCTTTCATTTCGTTTTACTATGTTTTGTTTATGCTGGTTTTTACTTGTATTCGTTTTAAGTTAAGCAGCCCATACGTCTTATTTAACTTTTAGCTTATTTTTAAGCTTTTTAAGTTCGTTTTGTTTTTTATCAATTTTTATTGATTCGAAAATATTAACTATAGTGTAATAATAAATGTAAAAATATACTAAATAATGTAGATGTGTATTTAAGCACACATAGATTATTTATTTTCAGATAATAAATTTTTAATATTTTCTACCTGAAAGTGCCGATGCTGTAAACATCATGTGAGAGACTACTCGACACAGTCAAGCACGACTCCTAACACCATATACTGGACAAAAATGCAATACAAAAGCTCAATGTTTGTGTCAGCTGTTTAAGATTTCTTCTATGTTTACATTAAATACTTTGCACAGAAAAAATATTGCAATATAAAAGCTTAATGTTTGCATCAACTGATAGAAGGTATTACCTATTTAATCCGATCATCAAATAACTCGCCTATAAAGAAATGCAATGTAATTACTGAATTTTTTCTCAATAATTATGTGAACTGTTATAAGTTTACTTTTATGTTCGTCTCAAATACTTCGTGCATAAAAAAACGCAGTGCAAAAGCTTAATGTTTGTATTAGCTAATAAAAGGTTTCTCCTGCTTAATCCAATCACCAAATAATTCGCACACAAGAAATTTAATGCAATTACTTTATGTTTCTATCAGCTGTCACAATTGGTTCTTAGTTTTCTCCTTATTTTCACTCGGAACGAATAATCGAATTTAGAAAGAAAACGCTTCTATTTCTCCATTGCTTTATTTGATTGACTTTATTTTTTTAATTTTGACACTTAAATATTAATTCATTTTTTACAGATTTGCAGGCATTGCCAGAATATTCTATAAAATGAAATATATAAATAAATAGCCACTAATAAGGATGATTTACCATACATAATGTTTTCATATAAACGAGCTCATTATTAATAAATCAGCTCATTTATAGCGAAAAATGTTGAATTCAACATTAAAAAATAAATTTCCGACAAAGAAAATCACCAAAATTTGAAATATATGTAAACAAACAAGGAACAAGGACGACACTAAGGAAGTAAGTATTTATTAAAATCATTGATTTTATTAATTGAATATGTAAATGTTATATAAAATGTATATAAATGATTTAAAATATTAATTAAATATTTTCTTTTGTGTGATAAATTATTAAGTGGAGTTTATAAACCTTTATGAAAGTTCTATCAATTGCATAAAGGAGCTCATCATAATGTGAACGTTCACTCATTAATATAAATGAGCAGTGTCTTCACACTTTCATAGTGTGAATGTCCTATATATCTGAAAAATATAAAAACTTTAATAATGTATGCATCTGCTGGGTAGTTAAATAACGTAATTATTACAAATTATTAACAAGCATTATTCAGTTAAAATATTATTGAACTGAAGTAATCACCGGTTATCTACTAAATTAGGCAGAGATTGGTGATAACTGTTAATGAAAATACAGCCTTTAATGTGTTTAGCATTATTTTAGTTCATACATAATATATATTAGCTTTATTATTTATTTTGATATATTTTATTTGTTTTGATTGTTTTATTTAATTTTTTGATATATTTCAAGTGTTACGTGATATTTGTTAGGAAATATTTAAACCTTTTACAACACTGTTAACAAAAATTAAATTTACTAACAATGCAAAACAGCTGATTTTGGTGACATGAAATATTGTTTACAAAAGTTTTAATAAAAAAATAAAATTAATTAATATCTACTTTCATTATAAATTTTTTAAATAATGTCTACAGAAGAAATTGATAATACTTTAAAACGTGCTGCACCGAATGATAACAATTCAGATGAAGACGCTGACGATGGCGGTTGGATCGGTCCATTGCCATGTGAGCAGATTGAAAATATTAAGCCGAAAAAAAAGAAAAGTAATTTATTATTTTCCAATACGTTAAGCACAATTTATGCATATTAATAATAATATTTTTTAAGTATTGCCATATGAACAAGTTTATTTGGAAAACTTACCAAATGCAGAAAGTTATGAGAAGAGTTATATGCACCGTGATGTTATAACCCACTTGGTTAGTACAAAAACAGATTTCATTATTACGGGCAGCATTGATGGACATATAAAGTTTTGGAAGAAAATGGAAGAAGGCATAGAATTTGTAAAACATTTTCGCAGTCATTTATGTAAATATATTTTTTTATTATATGCAAATTTTTATTTATGAAATATGTGTATTAAATAATCTATTTTGAATTTAGTGCCATTACATTCTTTGACTGCAAACGCCAGTGGGACATTACTATGTTCTGCATCAGCTGATAAGTGTGCCAAAATATTTGATGTTGTTAATTTTGATATGATAAATATTATAAGATTAGGATTTATACCACTTACAACGGAATGGATACATTCACCTGGTGATGCTGTACACAGTTTGGCAATGTAAAATTTAAAAAATTATTAATATAATTAAGAATGCTTGATATAAATGTTTTTTGTTTTTAGTTCTGATACAGAAAGCAATAAAATATATATTTACGATGGCGAAGGAAATGGCGAAATTCTGCACTGTTTGGATAAATTACATTCAGCACCGGTAATTGAAATGTGCTTTAATGTTGCAAAGGAAACAGTAATATCAGTGGATAAAAATGGTATATTAGAATATTGGCAGAATTCAAAGAATGACTATGCTTTTCCACAAAAATTGGTCAATTTTGACTCAAAGCTAGATACAAGTTAGTAAACTGTTGTTATGTTTTCTAAAAATATTTTAAGCGATTATATTATTAATTAATGTAGGCTTATTTGAATTTGCGAAGAGTAAGACTTTGGTAACTGGACTGGCATGCACGCAAAATGGCAGGCGTTTTGCTGCAATTTCTACGGATCGTAAAGTCAGATTATTTAATTTTAATACTGGAAAATTGGTTAAAGTTTTCGATGAGGCTTTAACAACATTTACACAAATGCAACAAACTCCACATGCTTTACCAAATATGGAATTCGGGCGAAGGTACTAACTGTTACATTGTAATACATGGTAATACTGTATGAATATTATTATTTTTAGAATGGCAACAGAACGTGATTTGGAAAAATCAGAATTTAACACATACAGCAATATATTATTTGATGATAGTGGCTACTTTTTAATGTATCCAACAATGTTAGGTATTAAAGTGCTGAATATAGAAACAAATCGTTGTGTGTCGATCTTAGGTAAAACAGATAATATCCGTCCAATACAAATAACACTACTGCAAGTAAGCTATTTTGATACTTATTAGTAAAAATTAATTTTGACTTTTTGATGGTAATATTTTTAGGGAAAGTCAAAACGTACAAAAGCTGCTATAACATTGGAACAAGAAGCAAGCGATAATCCTGCTCTACAATCGATGATAACAGATCCAACTATATTTTGTACTGCTTATAAGTATTAATGATTAAATTTTTTTGTATAATTATATAATATATCAAAAATAATTAATATTTTTTTTAGAAAACAACGGTTCTTTCTGTATAGTCGACGATTACCATCGGATCTACAAGATGTTGACAGAGATGTTTTTAATGAGAAACCTTCAAAGGAAGATATAATTGCTGTACCTGAGGGTCAAGGTTTGTATTTGAATTCAATGATTTATCATAGCTTTTTGATACATTGAATCTATAATTTTTAAATTTTTTGTCTTTCATGATAAACTCAAGATTATGAAGAAGGTTTTATCTTTTTAAATTTCATGTCAAGCATATTTATTAGAAAGTTACAATTTTAGGTATGCAAAGGTTGTACGAAAATGTTATTTTACATACAACAATGGGTGAT